TTCCTCCAGTTGAGTCACCGCCGAAGTTTGATAACCTCCCTAGCCTCTTTGACATGGATTCAGAGGGTGATGAGGAGGATGAGCAGCAGGAGCTTGACCCTCACATGACTTTGGCATTGACCTTGTAGTCCTTGAGGAGGAGCACCAGACGCCAGCGCCACACTTTGACCACCCATCGCCAAGGGAGGGCGATGGTGTCCTCCTCCGACGACGACGATGATGACAATCTTGGTGTTGCTGCCGGTGGTTGTCGGGCTGCTAGTGGAGATGATGTCGATTAGGAGGGTATCCAAGAATATGAGGAGTGAGTTCGTTGGTCTTTCTTCTTTTCTTCTCTTTTTGGTGCTTTATGCCAAAGGGAGAGAAAAATAGAGGGGTCAACAACTTTTCGACGCCATGGAAAGTTTGTTGCAGCAGGAGCTTCATGTTCTATCCGTTGAGAGTAGTCTTCGGTAGGTGAGAGTTTGAGAGTCGCTCTAAACTCTATTTATGTAATAATGCTACCTAAGTGCTCTATGTGTATGAGATATGGACATGTATTGATCTATTCTATAGCTTGTTATATAACTGTGCTAGAATGTATCTCTTTATATGTGTTACATACTGTGTGGTGCTTGATATCACCTGTGCTGTTACAGCAAGTGCGGCAGTACCGCACCCAGGCCCAGCAGTGCCGCTCTACGGTAGTGCTGCGGCTATGGAGCGATAGTGCCACACCCAGCTGTCATAGCTATCTTGTTGTGCATGAACTGTCATTTGTATCACGTTTATTTATTTATCATAGTGTGCAGCACCCCACAAGAGCATGGATGTAGGGGGAGTCCCATCACTTTCACTAAAATATGAATCTTGGCTTCTAATGCCAATTCGAGAATTTAATTATCTATTCACACATTTAGGGGGGCTCTACATCCATGGCTCGAAAATCTCAGTTGTATTTCATATTTTTTATAAGCTCTAATTGGGTTGTCATCAATCACCAAAAGGGGGAGATTAAAAGTGCAATCAAGCCCTAATTATGGTTTTTGGTGATAATACCCACACAATTAGAGGACTAATGAGATTTATCGAGATGACAAGCAGGGAATATATAATCGAGGATGTTATACGAAACGGAGGTGCCCCCAATTATAAATGTCAATGGCTTCAAACTCAAAGGAGATTTAAATTCTTTTATATTTTGAATTTGAGTGTAGGAAAAGCCGTACTATAATGGGGGACATAATGCTTAAGCTAACATGTGCTACCAAGTGCTCTATCTTACACCTACATCCTCAGTTACTCAGTCAAGACAACCAACACTTCACTCTTACCCTTGCTGTCTTGTCTTGTGCGGCAGTACCGCACCTAGAGAGAGGCACTGTCGCTGAGCGGCACTACCGCGACTTAAGTAACCGTTAGGGGTTGGGGGGGTATTTATACCTTTCCCCTTCCTCTCCAACGTCTCTCTTCTTCCTCTGAACCATTCAGTTCATCCAAGAACAGAAAAAGTACTCATCTCTCTCTCCTCCATTGGTGACCTTGAGCTCCTAAATTTCTTCATTGATTTTCCCATTAATCCTTGAGAGAAAAAGGTGCAAAACTCGATTAGAGAGCAGATACACTAATTCCCAAAGCCTAAAGAGCATTTGGTTTACGTTTTGGCCTGTGGTTGTGTTTATTACTATTGGAGCTTGGCTCCTAGCTGGCTAGAGCGTCGCCCGTGGAGCTTGTCAACTTGTGTGGCAGTCCCAGGAGGTTTGTAACCATCTCTTGCAGCTAGTAAACTCACCCTTTATCTCAAGAGGTAACTCTCTTGACTTAAGAACGAGGAGGGAACCTCAACAACGTGGACTTAGGCAAGCCTTGGTGGTAAGCTGAACTACTAGATAAATCATTGTGTCACCTTTTACTTGATTTATTTCACTTACATTTCACATTGTTGTTGAGGTAGATTCTAGGGCTTATGGTAGATCTACTTATGTGTGGTGTTTCTACCACTTCTAGCTCTCGATCTGTGAATCTCATACTTGCAGGAAGATAAGGAATTTCTCTGATATAAGTTTTCATTCACTGATTTTAAACTGTTACTCGAAGTTGTCTGCAGGTGCGGTAGTACCGTTGGTATAGCCCGGTAGTGCCGCTGTCCAATAGTGCCGCGAGGTCAGAGCGACAGTGCCGCGGGTGAAATTTGGCATCTGCTTGAGTTTTGTTTTAAGAGGCCTATTCACCCCCTCTAGGCTAAACAGAGATCCTACAGAGCCCCTCGCAAGGGCTAAGCTCTCATTCAGGTAACTCCGTGGATAGCCCCAAGCCTTCCCCATACGCAAGTGGGTCTCTGGTGTACCTTCCGGCAAACCTGTCCTGGACCGCTCCTCGCCGTCTTCACTATTAAGCTTCCGGCTAAACCACCGCGGGTCTTGTTCTCTTTGGTACACGGTGGCGGTCACACCACAAACACGGTTGGTGTGGTCTCGCAAGACTACAAGCCCCGTCGAGTACAAACACGGTGCGCGCAAGCACCTTGGGTTTAGAGTTATGCAAACCTCACTAGCAACTAGACCTGAGCCTAGAGCAAGCGCATCTGAGCGTGGTCTAACTAACCTAAGCACTTCACAAAAGCACTTACGCTAATCACCAAGTAATCTTTAAGCTCTATGCATGTGGAGAGCACAAATGAGGTGTAGCAACACCCTCCTATCTTCCCGTAGCTCCCTTACACTCCAAATGGCCGGTTAGGGCAAGTATTTATAGTCCCCAAGTCGAAACTAGCCGTTGTGGTCGAGATCCTCTTCTCTGCGAGGTCACTGGACAGGGCGGTGACCGCCACGTGGACTAGCCATTGCTCACTGACAGACTGACCGTTATGGTACTAATCACCGAGGCGGTGCACCGCCACCCTGAGGACAGTGATCAGGGTGGTGCTCGAGTCCCCCTTTGCTGCTCTCTGGGATTTTAGGGCGGTGGAACCGCCATCCCCTGTCCGGTGCACCACCAGTTTGGTGGCACCGCCACCCCCTGGTGGTGCATTGCCATGCCTAGGACGGTGACCCCTCTTGCTGTTTCTTCTCGTTTCTTCATCGGGGCTTCGTCATCTTCGCGTCTTGGACTCCTTGCTTCTCTCCTAAGCTATCAACGGCTCCTCCAATGTCTACTCTTGAGTGTTGATCAATTTCTTCACATTTCAAAGTTGGTCCAAGTCCGTGTTGCATCCTATTTGGCTATAAAATAGACACTAGCAAACACATTAGTCCAATTTGGTTGTGTTGATCATCAACACACCAAAATTAAAGTAAATGGGCCTAGGTTCCATTTTCTTTACACATAGAAAAATTTTAGATTTGCGTGGATGGAGAGAGGTACGGGTCAATGAGGATTTGGTGGTGAAAACCATACCATGCTGTCGGCCAACTTTGACAACAGTGAGGCCCATAGGCGCCGTTCTCCTCCATGAAGGCGTTGTCGTGGCAAGTCCTCCCCTCCCTTCTATTTTGCCTAGGTGAAAACTTTCCTCATCTTCAGACAGTGAAAGGCGACATCTCACGTCGCGTCCTCTTTGTAGGTGTTACTTTGGATAACATGCTATGTGCGGCGTTGATTGTCAATGGACCTGCGTTGGCTTGTGGACATGGTGGATGTGTCTTCCTCTTCGGCTTTGCGACTGGTCAACCTGTATTGCAGGAGAAGGGAGCTCAGTTTGATGGTGTGGAAGAAGAATCTCATATATCGCTTAAAGGAACACCGACAATCTATTCAACTGTTTTAGTCACCCTATGTGATTATTGAGGTCATGTTTGTGTGTTTGGTTTAGAGTCACGGTGGAATGGGACGGACCTAGACTAGTTTTAGGTATGAAACTGACCTCATTTCGTGTTTGCTTGAAGGGGATAGAATGGTCCATGTGTTTCTGGTTGGTTTGGGGAAAAAGTTTGGGATGATGAATTTGACATGTGGGGTCACCTATTAGCTTCTTTTTAGGATTGCAACAGCTCGTGAAGCCCACTCGTCCCACCTCGTCCTTCATCATCCCCTCATTTTCGGATGACGGGAGGATTTCCAATAGAACGTATTCACGAAATATTCAGAGGGATATTCTCCATCCCACTCGACTCTGAATCAAACACATCTAAAACGAGGACCGTCCCATCCCATTCTCATGGTCTCATGACTAGCCGGTGGAGAGCCGAAGAATGTTATAGATGCACTGCACATACTTCTATTTTTAGAAGGACAGAGCCGAAGAATGTTATAGATGCATTGCACATACTTCTTTTGTAGAAGGACGACATGTTCAGAGACTTTGTCTATCACTTCGTGGTACAAGAGAACACATGCAACCGCATCAAACAATTTCTCCATAGCTGAACTGTAGGTTGATAATTAGTTTTGAGATTACGTTGAGTCTGAAACCGAGATGCCAGAGGCTTTTGGGGTCTGATTTCTCTTTTTTTATATACTTTTTTTCTTTGTTTCAAAGTGCAGAACTTTATTTTTAATAAAGCTTTCTTCATTTAAAAAAGCCTATGGAGCTTTTATATTTCTACTGAAATTATAAGTTCCATGCAAAATATTCATCTTGCAAGATGCCAGTTTATTTTTATTTTTTTGAAAAATTAAGATGCCAGATTCACAGAAGCCCATCGATCGACCTTCCGTGATGCCAGTTACGTTTCGGTTCATCTCCATCACCCAACCATCTAGCGCGCTTCCTTCCTCGACACACTACTACACCCAGCCCAACCGGTCCGTCCGACTCCCGCGCAAATCCCCACGATTTATACCACGGCTCCCGCGAAGGCGCGAACTCGGGCGCGCCACGAACTCCACGTGCCCGCGCACTCCCGCAGGAGACAGGACTTGCCGCGCGCCGTGCCCGTGCGTGAGCGTGGCGCCGTCCACCAAACGCTTCCACTCCTCCCCACCCGCCAGTTCCCTCCCGTCCGCTTCCCGCTCGGCCGTTCCTCCTCCCCGCCACGGCGCGCGCCCCGGCAGCGGGAGGCGGGGCCCTCCGCGCGCGCGCGATGGCGCCGGACCCGTGCGCCGACCTCGTGGTGACGCCCAAGACGGCAGCCAAGGACGAGGCGTCCTGCTCCGTGGCCACGCCCACGCCGCCCAAGGTCACCCCCGACGAGGTGCGCGCGGTGGCGCAAAAGTTCGCCGACCAGCCTATCCAGGAGACGGAGCCCGGCGTCTGGGCCGTCCTCACCGCCATCTCCAAGAAGGCCCGCCTCCGGCCCCAGGTTCCCTTCCCCCCTCCCCTCCCTCCCTTAAACCCTAACCCTAAAACCCAAGGATTGCCCGTGTTCATTTCTTTCTTTGTATTTGCCTGCATTCCTGTTTGATGTATTGTTCGGATGAACTATGCGTGGGTTGAAGCAAGCATCCTGCTTTTTATTGCTGAAACATTTGTTGAATTATTTGGTTTATTTGATGGGCTTTTAGTTATTAATGTCAATGCCAGTTTATTAAATTTGTTTTGGTTTCACCAGTTACTGATTCTGAATGTTGTAAGCTTCTTTATAATTGGGAAAAGTGCAGAGTTCCTGTTGTTATTATCATTAATATGTTTCAATTCATGGCCTAAGAAATTCATGGTCTACTATAGTACTATTGATGTTGTTGGTTTGGCTTGCTAACATTGCAATTAATATTTCCTTCACCCATCTGATTGGAGTTCTATGAATGAACTGAAGGGAATGAACATTCTTTTGAGTGCTGATGAGCACTGCCTAGGACGCACTGCTGAGGAGCGGTTTCAGATTTTTGCCCAGCAGATCAGTGGGAAGCATTGCAAGATATACAAGGACACCGTCTTAGGGGAGCTCAACCGCCACGAGCCTGTGCCTGTTTTCCTCAAGGACACAAGGTTTGGTTTTTTTCTTCTGGATCTTTCGATATCTGCCAGTTTCATTTTCTTTTCCTACATTTGTTGAACTAATCTCTGGTGCAGTTCAAATGGCACATTCATTAACTGGACAAGGCTCAAGAAAAATTCATCCCCAGTCAAGCTTAATCATGGGGACATTATATCATTTTCATCACCTCCTCATGACGGTAAGATCCTGTGAATAGTTCTGATTCATTCATACTGGGTTCACTAGGGTAGGTATTCATTTGCTAGCACTGTGTGCTACTATTGTTCTCTGTGTTCAATTCATCATAATGTTTCTGTGTCATGTTATCACTGTTGTCTTGTGATTGATGTTGCAAATCTTCTATTCAAGTTGAATGTTGCTTTTGCAGACAAATCCTTTGTATTTGTCTACCGGGAAGTTAAAGCAATCAGTTGTTTAGAAAATGGAGCTCCCATTCTTAAGAGGAAGTCAGGTGAGGAGTTTTCTATCTTATTATTTGGTGATCATGACTATTCCCTCCATCCAAAAAGAATGCAATTGTAGGTTTGGGATAAGTCAAACTTCCTTAAGTTTGACCAAGTTTGTAGAAAATAATATAAATATTTATATTCCCAAAAATAGGTTTACTATGAAAATGAAAACATATTTGATTGTTAATCTAATGATACTTATTTGGCATCATAAATATTAGTACTTTCTGGTATAAATTTGGTCAAACTTGAATTTGTTTGACTACTTGGGAAGTGTGAATTGCATTCTTTTTGGGACAGAGGCAGTATGTTACAAGTTTTGATAGTTATCATGGTTTGATGGTCACGCTATGTTACAAGTTTTGATATATGCACTTCTATTTTGTTTGATCCTGAAGAGGAGGGTGGTTCTGGAAGCAAGAGGCTAAAGGGTCTTGGTATTGGTTCTCCTTATGGTCCTGTTTCACTAGATGATGTCCGAAGACTAGAAAAATCTAATGCTGTAAGTTGGCTCCTTCGGCATGACAATAATTTTGTGTCTTCGTAATTTGCTAACTTAGTAGCTTAAACTGATTCAGGATCTCAGGGAACAACTTGAGGCACATGTTGTGACAATTGAGACTTTGAGGGCTGAAATAAAAACGGCCCAAGTGCAGCATGGAAAGGTTATATATTACTTCCATGTCCCTCTCCCGCTTTTTGCATGGCATGTTTTTATTTTTGCTTTTGTTTCGCTCTTATATTTCTCCTAGCATAAATAAATTTGCATCTTGTATTTCATGGCCCATATCACTTCTAAATTCTAATATTAGTCTACTTGATGATGATGTTCCACCATTGTTTGTCACTGTGCACAACTCAATATACCCCTGATATATTAATCATATATTCAATCAAGTTAATACCTATTTATCTGTGAGAGGATATAACCATTCCCTTTTACGTTGTTGTCATTGATTAGGTTTCTACTTACTTGAAGCTTGTACTCGTCAGTCATCATGTCTCATTTTCTTTTTGTACAATTACTACAATTGAAATTTTGCAAATCTGTTGCTGTAGGAACTTGAGGAGTTGAGAGAAACTACGTCGAGTTCTTATCTTGATCAAACTAAATCTCTTCGGTCAGCACTTGAGGAGAAACAGAAGCAAATAGATTCACTCAGTGCATCAAATACAGAGTTACAGAACTCTATAAAAGATCTCGATGAAAGGCTTAGTGCATCTAAACAATCACGCGCGGATGCTGATGAGATAATTTCAAGGTATTCTGCATTGCTGTGAGATCAACTTGTTACCATTTGACAACAAATACAAAGAATGTCCATCTCTTTCCATGCATCATTTACTATTACATGAGGATCTCATATCTTTGAATTTTGAAACATTTCCAGCCAGAAAGCAATCATATGTGAGCTTGAGGGACAGCTAAGTGAGGAGCGAAACTTAAGAAGAGAAGAGCGTGATAAGGCTGCACATGATTTGAAATCTGCATTGCATAAAGTGCAAGCCGAGGCTCAAGAAGAAATTAAGAAACAGGCAGAGTCTTACCTTAGACAACAAAGGGAACAGAAAGAAGTTATTAGCAAGCTTCAGGTTATACTTAACTCCAGTCAGTCTGATCACGAACTCATGTTTTTTTTTCGCATCACAGATTTAATAACCTTCCACTCCCTGTTTTCAGGAATCAGAAAAAGAAACCCGTTTGCTTGTGGAAACTTTGAGGTCCAAGCTGGTATGCTATTTCACAATGACTGCTTTGAATCTACTATTCTTTTACTGCATGACAATTATTTGTTCTTTCTTCTCATGCAGGAAGATGCTCGAGATAATCTTGTAACATCCGAGAAAAAAGTAAGAGAGCTGGAAGCTCAACTTCATGACGAGCAGCTAGTATCAGCCAACAATCGAAAGGTACCAAGCAGTGTACATGGTAGACTTCAGTTATTACATCTAATTATTTTTTATTCACTGTATTTTAGTTGCTGATAATATCTTACCCCCTTCTGCACCCTTATGATTGCAGAAATCAGAAAATCTGGAAACTGAATTGAGAAAGCTGAAGAAGGAACTTGAGAATGAGAAGGTAAAAATGTTCCAGTGAAATGAGCATGCATAGAAGGTTGTTTCTCCACTGACAAGGCATATCCTTTTGTTAGCAGGCTGCTCGAGAAGAAGCATGGGCAAAGGTCTCAGCACTTGAGCTTGAAATAGCTGCAACGATTAGAGATCTATCAATTGAGAAACAGAGGTACCAAGGAGCTAGAGAACGGATTATTCTACGGTAAGGATCATGTTTCAGTCTTATATAGGCACATTAAGAATCCCAAGTGCTGTGCGCTACAAGTTATATATAATCCTTTTCTATTTCCCCCCTATGTTGCTTATTGCAGGGAGACTCAGCTGCGTGCTTTCTATTCAACTACAGAAGAAATCTCTTCTCTGTTTGCGAAACAGCAGGAACAGCTGAAAGCTATGCAGAGAACTTTGGAGGATGAAGAGAACTATGAGAGCACCTTAATGAGTGTGGATCTCAATAAAGTGCCTCTAGCCACCGTAGCCACTGATAATGCTGGTATGAAGCCAGTAGGCTGCTCAAAAAATACAGTGGGAGCTTCAAGTGCTTCACCAGAAAATACCCAGGTAAGTGAACATAGTTCCAGTGACGAAGATGCCAACATGACTGAGCAGCATGATGATGATGGTACTGCCGATGGTGACAGCACTCAAGGTCTAGAATGCACCAGTCCAGAAAGGTCAGAGAGATTAAGGCCGGGTTTTCAGGGCAATCCTGTTTCTGCAGTTCCTGAGAGGGAGGTAACAGATACTGAGCAAGTTCCTGAGACGGAAAGCCAAGCTGGTAATGTTGGTTGTGATGACCAAAGATGTGACAATATGGGAGGAGAGACTATGCCGCTAGAGGACGAAGTGCAGCTTCCAGAGAACGAGGAACCTATTGCATTGCTCAAAGATGCAGGGCAACCACAAGCAAATGTGGTTCCTATTCCAATCCCCAATGATGGCACTGGCCACTGTTCCGAAGAAAAACATGAGGGTGCTTTCTCTGAGAGCAAACGGGAGGACACACATGTTGGAGCTATCGGAACGGCTGATCTGTTGGCCTCAGAAGTTGCTGGGAGCTGGGCAGTGGAAACAGCTCCATCTGTCAATGGGGAGAACGAATCTCCAAGGAGCTTGGGAGATGCTGCCGATGCTACAGAGCAAGACGAAGATGGAGGTAGCATGGCAGCTGATGCTTTGTTAACTTTGGTGAATTCAGAGGGCCAGGTGGCTGGGAGCCAGAATAATGTTGAGCATGCCAGTTCCAAAATAACCGATGATCATCGTGTTCTTAGTGCCATGATTGGAATTGTTGATCCTGAATTCAGGAAGCAAATGTCCAGAAGTGGAGTTGGAAATGAGGAACCGATGTCTGACGCTGAGACGGATGAAGGCATCGAGGAAGGTGATTCAGATTCAGGTTCAGATGGCAGTGACAGCGAGGAGGCAATGGTTGAGGATTCTGTTGGGTAGCTTAAACGGAACTGACTGTTCACTGTAAATATCTCAATTCGTTTGTGTACCTTCGGTTGTATGAGCTTGTATTATGCGTAGCATAAGCCCCTCATGTGCATTTGTTTTTTTTATTCGTTATTAAGTGTCTTTAGCAGCTCTTGGTGTTGTACGAAATCGAGACCTTTTGGCCTTCAACACACAAATAAAGATATATACTCGCTCCGTTCTAAATTATAAAACGTTTTGTTTTTTATATATATTATTATTTTTACTATATATCTATATCTAGACATGGTTATAGCATCTAGAATCTATGAAAGGCAAAATGTCTTTATAAAAGCATCTACAGGAGTTTGGTATAATTACTTGTTAAACTAATCAATTTAGCAAGTTAACAAAAGAAATAGGGACCTTAATTTTTGTTCTTCTCCAACAGTCCCTATAATAACTTTCTAAAAGTTATAGTAGGGCCCATATTTTTTTTTGGTTTATTGTGTTGTTCATAAAAAATTGAAAAGAAAATTGCATCTACTCTCAGCACAGCACTGACGCGAGCACCGATCCGATCCCAACGATTGGCTCGGCCAGCTGCGTACGGCCAGCAAGGTGTGCCTAGCTTCCATGCCTTTCGGCCAAGCGGTGAGCACACGTGAAGGCAGCAGGCCATGCCGTCCAACCAAAGATCAATAAACAACCGCGGAGGTGAGCACTAGGCGGTGGCGTTGACCTGCAGGGCGGCGGCGATGGAGGCATGTACATAGCAGCGGCAGCCGGACCAAAGAACTGCACCAGAAGTGCCATGAAAGCAGGTCAAGGAGTGGAGATAGGGAGTTATCTCTGACTTTAGAAATCTACTAGCTGAGAAGGATATTTGATAACTTTTTATTTGTAAAGAGCTCTTTTACCAAATTGTTGGAGACTTTTTTTCCTTTTTGCTAAAGTATTAAGATAGGGAGTTGTTTTACCAAACTCCTCGAGATGCTCTACGTAGCTCTCTTCCGTCCAATTTTTTTTTTTAAAAAATCTCTAGGACTGGGACATACTGTTCCCTTTCAATTGAGGGGGTTCCAAAGATGAAAGACCGAATCATGTCAGCCTACATTGTTACCCCGCAAAAGGCATTCGGGTGTGGGTAAGCATTTGTATCGATCCTGAGGTATCAAAGTGCAAAAGCATCAATAAACACTACTAGTATTATAAAAGAATATTAATCGGCTACAATTTGATCAGTTTGGTAACTCAAGCAACTGTATCATCCAAAGAATAAATAAACAGGTACAAGAAGCAGGTTCATGACCTGGAAAAAATGCACGGTGCTTATTAACGACATTTAAAACCAATGAGTTAGGAAATGAAATAGTTTCAGTTCATCTAAGCCGATCTTTTCTTTTCTTCTTTTTTTTTTTCCTGCTCACGCAGCGGTGGAAATGAAATGGCTCTGAGATCATTCCTGCGGTTCCTGCTTCTTCCCTGCGCCATTCTGCTGCGCCTGCTGCAGCTGGTAGAACGGTATCGGCGTCGCCTGCTGCTGCTGCTGCTGATGCAGATGAAACATCTGCTCCTGAACGCTGATTTGGATCTGCTGGGTTAGATTGTTGGACGAGCAAGAATCCCCGAGCTCTGCAGTCGCGAGTTTCAGGCGTTGGACCTCGCCTGTCAGTGCGTCATTCAATGCTGTTCAACAAGACAACAAAATACGAGATTAACCTCCAAAAAAACATAAAAATTTGAATTAACCCATCAATTTCCCATGTTGCTACCACTTAAACTCTATAGCTGACATATGTTCTCTCAAAACACATGGTGATACGCTAGCCTGCCGCAATTTTTTAGAGTGCAGTGCATATGCTCCTACTCCTACCTACATGCTAGACACTAACATCGGCAGAGGAACCACGTAGCCCCGTTATGGATCATTAAATGTAAAAAAAAAAAAACTAATTGCACAGGAGCCAAAAATTGCAGAGATTAACGTTTTGAGCATGTGTGTCCATGTTTGAACACTATTTGCCAAATAAAAACGAACATGCTACAATAGCCCCAAAATCCAAATTTCTCCAACTAAACAAGGGCTAACATCGGCAGAGGGAACAACATACTTTATCTGAAGAAAGGGCGTGAGATTAAACAAACACGAGCAAATCTTGTTCCTAGATGATGGTTAGCACATCTTCCTAGACACCAGTAGCAGTACATGCTAACGACTACCGGTATTGCGCGAGGGATCGCATAGAAAAGCAACCAACCACCAACCCGGCTGTCTCCAAATGCCAACACGAGCTCTCACCCACGATTCAGACTTTCGGAGCCGTGGGCACACGAACTGGGCCGGACAAGCCAGCATGTCAACGTCAACTTCAATGAGTTGCTTCTGCTAACTTATCCTAGTGCCTAGCACACCGGCCGGACGTTGACGAACACAGCGAGGAAGAAGCAAGTGTGCAGGTGAGGTGAGTGAGATTTGGAAACGCACCGTCACGCAGCTGCGCCTGCTGCTCCATGGCCTGCAGCCGGAACTTGAGCTCGTTGTTCTGCGTTGCGATCCCCGCGGAGTCACGCTGTGAAGGCAAAAGAAAATTGGTTGAGTCACACGAACAAACGATCGGCACGAAGGATTTCGCTGCGATTCAAAGTGCATTGGAGATTAAGCGAGGGCAGCATAGGGAAGAGTAGCTAGCTAGGTACCTGAAGAAGCCTGAGCTGGGCGGACAGTGTGGTGGCCTCCGTCTGCAGGATCTGAACCTTCTGCTCCAGCTCCGCAATGTATCGCATCTTCCGCTCCTTGGACCGCGCCGCCGACTGCCTGTTGGCCAGCACCCTAGCAATAGCAAGCAACGAACCACAGCTCGATCAGTCCAAAGCTAAACATTTTGCAAGCTCGATGGATCCAAAGAAGTAGTAAGAACAACGGAGCCACGCGCGAGAGCTCAAAGATTTAAGACGAGTGGCATTGAGTAGTGGTAGGAGTTTTACCTCTTGACGCGCTTGGGGTCGGCGAGCGCCATCTCGGCCAGCTTCTCGTTGGCCATGATCTTCTTCATCTCGACGGGGGTGAATTCGCCGCTGCCGAACTCGAGCTTGAACATGTTGGGCCCCGGAATGACGCCGTTTGCGGCGCCCGTCGCGCCGGCGGAGAAGTTGAGCTTGCCGATGAGGCTGTCCATGGACAGGCTCCTGGCGTGGCGCGCCAAGGGCGCGGCGGCCGGTTCCCCCGCGGCAGTCCTCTTGAGCCCCTCCCGCCTGTCGGCGGCGGCGGCGGCAGCGGCAGCGGCGGCCTCGGTCCAGAGGCGGATCCCGGCGCGGCTGTCGGCGGCGCACTCCTCCGACTCGTTCTCGCTGCTGTCGGCGCCGTTGGTCTTCATGCTGCTCCCGCGGCTGTCCCCGTCGTCGTGGCGGTCGTCGGAGGAGTTGAGCCCGTCCAAGCCCCTCCAGGTTGAGGTACGCGTTGAACAGGTCGTCGTCGCCGCCTCCGCCTCCGCCGTGGAGGTGGCCGCCCCAGCCGGGCTCCACCTTGGGCGGCGGCAGCTGGTGGTGGCCATGGCCCCCGCCGCCCGCCGCGGGCGGGAAGTACCCGAACGGGACGTCGCTGCGGGAGCGCCGGTGCGCCTTGCGCGGGCCCTGCTGCTGCGCCGCGGGGTCGACGACGGCCTCCATGCACACGTCCCCGCGCTGCAGGGCCGCGAACGCCTGCGGCGGCGTCGGCGGGAGTCCCGGCGGCCTGGTCAGCTTGGCGCTGCCCTGCTCGGGCAGGAACTGCGCCATCGGCAGCGACATCCTCAGCGCCTGCTGCATCATCGCGGCCGCGTGAGCGTCGCCGACGCCGTTCATGCTGCGGGCGGGCGACGTACGCAGACGGCAGACGCAGCGCGGCGGCGGTGGCACGGAATGGAATGCGGGGCCGGATCTCTGGGTCGCGCGGGCGCGTTTAGGGCCCGTTCGGTTACACTCGTTCCTGGCCGGAACGGTTCCTGGCGATGCTTGGGCTGTATAAAATACGGCAGCGATCCTGGCCGGATCGATTCCAGGAGTCAATCCCGTGCGAACCGAACGTGGCCTTAAGGGTATTTAATCGCCGTTTGGTGACGGGCGGGCGGTCTCTCGGTGAGGCGGTGGGGGGGGGTTGCCCGTTGCCCGTTGCCGTGCCGCTCCACAATTTCTTCGTTGCGCGCGTCTCGGCGTGGCGTGCCCCGCCTGGTTTGGCTTTGGCCTGTCCTGGCCTCGCCTCGTCTCGTGCAGTTGCGCTTCCTTGGTGCGCTCGCCTGGGCCTCGCTACGCGCCACTCGGCGTTCGGCAGCCTAGCACTGCATGCTGTTTGGGAGCGGGCCGGGCAAGACGCAAGAACGTCGTGCGCGTAGTATGTGCATCCACCTCGTGCATGCTGTCGTCCTGTTGCAGTGCTGTCAGGACTCAGTCAGGACGTGGTGCATGCACATTCATGACGGTTTGAACATTCTGTAGTACGTACGAGTCTCGCTGTACAGTGTACTACGAAACAGCCAGTGCGTCAGCTGGTTGCTTTCTGTACTGATAAGTCTGGTTAGTATTAGTTTGTTATGAAGAAAAATACTATACTATAACTGATAAGCTCTAACCTCAGACCAACGAGCGATCAGGGCGGAGCACCTTCTGCTGGACCGGACGGTGGCTAGCTACTTCAGGATGCAGCTGTAGCCGCCGCCGCCGCCGCTGTGCCGCTTCATGGAATCATGGGACGATGTGGTGGTGCAGGAACGGCTCTCGATAACTTACTGTTTCTGCAATGTCGACCACAGTAAGTGGCGGATGCAGAACATGATTGAAGGGGAGGCTGGTCTCTTCTTCTTCCTCTCTCTCTCTCATTTTTCTTCTTTCCTCCACCTCTTCTTCTCCCTCACCCTCCCCGTATTTCCATTGATGCACCAGCTGTAGGAGGGGCTGGAGCCCCCTAGCCCCCCCCCTTAGATCCGCCCCTGACCACGGTAGCTTAGCACGAGGGACATTGGCCGGATACGTGCGAGCTAAGGCTAGAGATAAGGTTG